AGCAGATAAACATCATTTTCATTTTTGGGTGAACTATCCCTTTAATGCGGCGCGCGCAAGTGAGCGCTCTCAATACACAGAACTACAAGTCCCGGGATGCACTGCGGCGGAAGAGGGCGGAGCCACTATCGGCTTTCTGACAGACGCTTTCAGGAAGTGCTCGAGGTAAGGCTTCACGTCTGCCCTCTATTTACACATTTGTCGCAAAACTTAGTTATTATAAAACTTCAGTGTTATTAACGCGTGTTTTTTCGACTCCAGCTTTGATGTAGTTTCTCTAGCTGCGCTGCACGAGAGCTGCTTGGATTGCTAGCATGCTAGTTTGTGGCTGAGGTTTCCTGCTGCGCGTCAGTTTATGAGATATATATATGAGATGCATATAAACGCTTCGTGTAGTATTTAGCAGCTTGTAAACTGTGGCGAGAAGCTCGGCTGTGATCAGGATGCATCGAGCAGTTAGTGTAGTCAGAACCTTCATGAACTTTGTGTTTTCACCTGATACTAACATCATGTTCTGTAGCAGTGTGAAGTATGCTTAATGTTTAAACAGCTAAGTGCACATGTGTGTGCTATACGTTATATATATATATATATATATGTAAAATAATATATTTAAATATAAATAAATGCAATAAAATATTTAAAAGAAATTACCTAAAATTATAAATACATTTCTAATCTAAAAATAATAAAATAATCTAAATTTAAATGTGAATAAATGCAATAAAATATTTAAAATAAAAAAATATATAAATAAGAGATTTAAAGATTATTTGTGGACAAAAGCCGTGTTATTTGCTGTCCTTCCAAATGATGAACAGATGAGTTGTCTTCGCGTGTGTGTAACGCTGTGATGGTGTTTCAGGAGGATCCAGCCTCTCGTGTGTGCGTTCAGACGCTGAAATCAGCTTCCGGCAGACGCGTGTGGCTTCTGAGCGCGAGCACAATAGAGCAAAACACACAGGAAGAGAGACGAGGAAGTCACTGCAGAAGCAGAGGAGCATGACGGAGTTCTGGGTGTGTTTCAGCTGCTGCATCGCTGAACAGCCGCAACCCGTGAGTCCCAAACACTCCGAACACTGGCTCTGATGATGAAGAAGCTGATGAAGATGATGATGAACAGTGTGTGCAGGTGTAGAGTGTAGCCGTTCTTCCTGAGTCTTGCTTCAGTGTTCCTCCCTCTTTGTGTGATTGCAGAAGCGGAGGCGGAGGATAGATCGCACTATGATCGGAGAACCCACAAACTTCGTTCACATGACACACGTGGGCTCAGGAGACATGGGCCGTGGAGCTGTGAGTAACACCACGTTACATTAGACTCACCACCAGGACATCGCGCTGAAGCCTGTTTTCAAATCTAACATTTCTTGCATTGCAACATAGTTTTGTTTCATTTTAAATATCTATATATAAGCATACATTCATTTGCTATATGCATATATACATATATGTGGGTCAGAGACAATATATATATTGTAAAGAAATGAACAAAAGTGATTATATGTGCACAGAAAGCACATTAGATGTAACTAAAGTGTCTACTTTTAAGGTTTCAAATAAGTTTTTGAAGGATACAATGTTACAATTTAGTTGAAATAATGTTACAGTGTCGTTCAGTGTAACAGTTATAGTTATGTAAAAATTCACACATGCTTATTCGTGACGTGTACGTATTAAAATATATAAAAGAATAAGAGAGCATATTCAATTTTACAGTAAAAATTCTTACTGACAAACGGGCGAAACCTAGGATAGTGGCACATTTCAAAAATGTAAAATTACGACTATTAGTCGTTATAATTAGTCGTTTAATGTGTCATAAATAGATTTTTGTTGTAAATGTGCCTGACGAGATTGTTACACTGAATGATATTTTAGTGGCCGTCTTCTGTAAATCAGGGGAAAATGTGTTATATTTATTTTTTGCTCAGAAAAACAAAAACAAAATTGTAATTAAATTGAACAGAAAACTTTTTAGAGTTTTTTGGGAAAAACAACAACAATTTAAAGCAGTATTACACTTAC